GGCGGCCGTCAAGGGAAGCTGTTGCGATGGGCGTCGTGCATGCACACCTCTTACCCTGACCTTGCGCCGTGCACACTCAGCTCCGCTCGGCTCGGCCCGATGCCCCCCAACGATAAGGACCCGCCGGAGTATAATGACCACGCGACACGCTGCTGGCGGAGAGCAAAAACGAAAATGTGAGCGCAGGACGGACGCGGGGTGTTTAGTGGCCGTGGCGCCCCTGTTATCAAGCGCGTGGAGTAGCTGCTGCGCCAACGTCATCCGGATATACGCGCGCGACCCTTTTCTAGCGCAAAAGAAAACGAGTTGCGCGAGCGAGTTTTTTTCCCGCCCTTTTCTGCTTCTCTTTCATTCCCTCTTGCAAAATACTGCAAGTACTACATTTTACGGGGAGCGAATTTCTCCGAGAGTGTAGTACGTAGCATTTATAGGGCACGCGGGCACGCCGCCGCCCCCCTGCCGTCAGCGAGAAAGCGAGTTGTTATTGTTATTTACACGGGGGTGTGCCCGGGCGGTGAATACGAGCTGGCTGCGTTATGATGAATAAGAAGAATGGCGTGAAGCGTCCTGCTGGCGGGAGGAGGGTGGTGGGAGGCAACTTGCACGCCCCCGCCAGGCTACCGCCAGGCTCCCGGGCGCGGGCGGCGCTTTATTGGTCGTTGCACCGCCACGGGCTCAGCAGCAGCAGCGGCAGCCTCGGCAGAGCAGCCCGTGCTTCAGGCTTTTGCAAGCCGCTGCTGCCGCCGCCGGGGAAGCTCATCAGGCTGAAGTGTCAGAGAGAGAAACAGAGGCCATAAAGTTACAGCCCAGGGTGTCTGCACGCCCCGGCCCCGGCCCCGGCCGGCACCACGACACGACACTACCACTACTACTCTGTGTCCCACCCGCTGCGAACACGGCGGCGGCGGCGCTGGGACATCATCAAATATATAACGTCGTGCGAGTGGGTACCACCGGCAGGCTGGGACCCGGCAGGCCCTCGGCAGGCCGGTCCCCCGGCGGACCTCCCTAATGGAAGCGGCTCTGTCCAGACGCACACTCGTACCCGGCAGCCCGGCCGCGCGCCAGGGTATGAGAAATAGATGAGGCGCCGTACTGTGCCCACCGGCTCTCCTATGGTCTCCCAAGAATGCTTATTCCCGGAGCTTGAATCTGCTGCTGCTCGCTACCTTTGAGCGCCGCTGGCATGGGGTGCAGTGACCCTCCCTCCCCCTCCCCTTTTCAACCCCCCCGCTCCCACCTACCTGCCCTCTCGCCTCCCCCTGCTGCTGCTCCTAGAGAAAGAGAGGGGGTAGAAGGCGAAAGGGGGGAGAGACGACGACGGGGTCGGGCGTCGTGCTTGCGTGCGTTGTCGTACGCGTCTCGGCGTA